AGAAACGATCAAATATAATATATTGATAATAAAATCTATCGAATCAATTTAAATTATAAACAATCAATAGTTTTACGTAGAAGGATATCAAATAGATTATCTGCAATGATTAGTTCGAGATTGAAATAGTAGAAAATTCTATTGATTAATGACAAGATATTTATTTTATTCGAATTCTAATCTAGCATATATTCGAAGAACTTATTTAGAGATCGATATTATTATTCAAACAAATTTTTTTTTTCTATTGGTAGACTTTTACAAAGATTAAATTATATTGACCTTTTAATCGAGATTTTTTTATTATTTATAATAACATTTCAGATTTATTACTTTTTTATTGATTGAATCTCTTCGGAAAGCTACCGTGAAAACTCAATTAAACATTGACCGAGAAGATATTCGACATATTGAAGATATAGAGATGTAGAAGGTATAAGTGTGGATTAGCTAATTTCCTAATATGGTGCGAATTGCAGGTTACCTCTATGAACGAATGGAGAAATCGAAAAAAAAAATCTCTCCAATGAATAGAGCTCATTGATATCTATATGGATAGCTATGTTTAGAAATGGAAGAGCATTGATGATACATTGCAACAAGTCGAATGCTCCGACATTGGTCAGTTTAAATTAAATGGTGGGTTTTCTGTGTGATGGACTGGCAGAATCGAAATGGTAAGGTGTCAATTGGATAGACTTCGTCAATATCTATCTGGAGAGTTGTTTAGTATGAATTCTTCCAGGAAAACAAGTGACTAGTACGATCACTGGAAACGATAATTTAGCTAAACTGGATTGAAAATTTACTCAAAGACAAAGACATTTATCATTAAATCAGATTGAGAAGATAATTGATTTGTTGTTATGATAAATTGAATAAAAACATAATAGAAATACGAATTATCCATTCTCGTTGTCCATCTGATTATATTAATTAGATATTGAATCTTGTATGTTTATCTTTGTTTTATTATTGTTTAACTCTTCTTATGAATTCCAAATATTTTTGTTATTTTTTTATTTGATTTCTGCTGGAAAACATCTTAGAAGATCTATTAAGGCGATTATTCTAAATGATTTTTTTTTTGTATCAATAAAGGGCCTATGATATTTAACATAATATATATTATATATAGATAACGATAAATATCCTTTGTTGACAAAAACTAACAAATATATCATCTTGGAGATTAGACACAGGAGGATCCTTTCTGTTGGACAGATGTGTTCTCGAACGAACGAACTTTTTTATGTTCTATTCTAGGTTTTTCATAAGAGGATGATAAAGTGAATATGTCCTATAGAATGTAACGGGAGAATGAATAAAACGATCCTGTGATATATTCTGATCGATACCAAATAGATGATTATGTTCTTTAAAATAAAAAATAAATATTTAAAGAAAAAGAAAAAAAAATTCTTTTTTATCCTCTTCATACCAATCGAATTTATTTCAATTTGTTAATTAACTTCTATTTGTTGATAATCATTATAAATAACTTTCCATTCAAGATCAATTGATTTATTATCAGATCTTGAAAAATAATTCGATTAGTTTGTTTTTTAAACAAAAACTAAAACGAAGTTTCGTTACCGAAATAAACGTCTTAGTTCTTCTTCTATTTCATCTCGATATTGAGTTTTTTTGTCGATCTACTCAACGGAAACATCGTTTTCCTACATTCTGTAATGGTGGTGTTACCAAAATAATTAAATAAATAAGAAAAAAAGTGTGTTATTGATTTAAATAAAGATATAGATCGATTTGACCATTGAAATTTTATTTCTTTATATATATATTTTTTTTCTCATACTGTTGTTGTTGTTGTTGTTGTTGTTGTTATTGTTGTATTTATTTGTTGTTTTCATTCTTGTTTATAAACTTCATCACAATTAGCAAATAGAAATTTGTATGTATGATAAATAGAATTTTTAACACAATCTTCAACAACACCAGATTGACATGGTGGTGAACTTAATACTTGCCCCTGAATATTATCATTAGAAAAACAAAGACAATAGGGATTTGGTAAACTGTTCATAATAATTTTCTATATGATTGATTCGTTTCTTTTTCAATTTGAATAACAAGTACTTACATATAAATACTGTTAACAACAAGATATATAAGACTATTTATATTTTCATTATATCCGTAAAAAAGTAATCCAGTGAGAAAAAAAGAATGAGAACAAAAATCTATTATAGACTATTCAATGAATAATAGCTAGATCTTATTTTAAATAAAAGCATAAAAATTCATTGATTTCATGCAGTGAAACCATGCTGAAAAACTTATCTGATTATTCATTGATGTTCATAAAGGAATGACTATCCTAAACTATGTTTTTTTTTTTTAATATTCTTTAGCTTTTTTTTTTATGTCGCTCGATCAATTGAAAATAACAAATAACCTTCATAGGAAAGAATGTTATAGATGTTAGAAAATAAACTGTTGATTTTAAATCTTGCATTCGTTCCATAGTTGATGAAGGAAAATTATTCTAATTATTAACAAGAATATTCATTTATTTTTTTTCAATTAAATTTCAAATATTAAAATACATACTCAATACATAGATAAATCAATACGAATTGAATTGTGTAATTGATCGAGCAATTTAATAAATATTTCTTTCTAAATATATCAATAAATATTATTTACATAATCAAAATTCTAAGATTAATATTCAATTCTGATGAGTTTATTTATTGAATCAGATTCATATTTGAATAAATTGAACAAAACATTAGATTATTAAAGAACTTCAAAGAAATCATTTTCTCTTATTAAATTCAGATTCTAAAAATTAGGAAATCTACTGTTTATTAGAATATTTTGTTTTAAATCAACAGGAAAACTGAGAGATTTTTATTTGAAGTTCGTAGAACATTTAAAAATATTTTTTGTCCGAAAAATAAATCAAAGATCCGATAAATGAAGTGTTTGTTTTTTTGTATTAGTTTCATGACGGAAATATTTGATTAGACTTGATATCCAATGAAAGAGATATATTATGTTAAAAATCTCCATTGCAAGTCATTCAAGAATTATTTTCATTGAAATATGTGAAAACAAATAGAGAAGAGAAAAATGAATAGACTACCCAATATGAACTAGAAATAATTACTAGATGAAAAATGAGTTATGTCGTCTGTCATATTTCCTACTTTTGGAACGTGGCAAAGTTTTTTTTTTTTTTTTTGGTTGAAAGAAAAAAAGAAGTTTTTAAAGGAGGGTGGATGTGGGTATAGTTCTTTGTTTTACTTATACTCAAACACGCATACCAATATCCACATTCACACTCCAAATTGAAAACAATATCTTTTTTATTGTTATTTTCATCTAAAGTATTTTATCAAGAACAATAAATAGTTGAATTAATCACTTCTCAATATAATCAATTGATTAAATTTGTTTATACATTCCGTTTGAAGAATACTATATTAGAAATACTATTTTCATTTAAGGTATTTCATCAATATAATTAATTTGTTCAATAAAATATGCTTTGAAACTATCACTTCATATCCTTCTTCGTATGTTTAATTTACAAAAAAAACAAAAATCTTTTTTGTTTTTATTTTCATTTCATATGATTCGTTGATATTTTATTTATATTGTTATTAAATTCAATTCAATAGGATTAATATCAATAATAATATCTAACTGATACTACTATTCGATTTCTATTGATGATCAATTCTGATTATGAGTCGAAATCGAATAGTAAATATTAATTTAAAATAAAATAAAACGTTATAGAACAAGATTACTATTAGAATAATATCGATTTAGTTTCATTTATCTATTAATTAATCGAATTTTATTTTAAAATTTAATGAAATGAACATTTTTTTCAAAAGACTAAAACTTTTATTCTGAAATGTTGATATTTGTTAAGTATTCGTTTGTTAAAATGAATAAGTTTATTATCTTTGAAATATGCGTTAAGAAATTTTAAAACAAGAATCTATTTAACATGCAGAATTTGTTAAAAATGATTAGTTTCAGAATCGGCATTTAACTAAGTTTTGTTGTTCGTTTTTTTTCCATTTTTCAATATTTCTTTGGCTTTATCTAGAAAACAGAACGAAGAAAAAATTTTATATTTTAACGATAGGATTTGCCAGAATACTCGTCAACATTCTTGGAAAAAAAGTCTTGATTTTTAGATTTAATTATCTCAAAAGAAAGATCTTATAGAGTTTGTATTAAATGCAAAATATGAGCTTGATTTTTAGTAAAACTTATTGCTAAATTAACACTCGAAATTTTTCTAATAATCCTATAAATCCTGTTTTTCAGAGCGCATCTCGTAACTCAGCAAGATTTATCATATCGAACTCATGTTTTGGATTTAATACTAACACTATAAGTCCTTTTACTGAGATAACTTAGATTTAAAATCAAGACTTCTTCTTCAGTCAAGTACCGTTTTTTCCTTGTCAATTTTCTGGCGAATCCTCTTCTAAGAATCTGTCAAGCTTATAAAATACTTACCATAATCGTTCTGGTTTTCTTTTATATAACAATAGTTCGTTTCTCGATCATCAGCAGATTTAGGACATAAGATGGTGCTCATGCTTTTGACTTTGAGCTCCGTGAAAACTTTCATAGCTTTTTCGAACTATAATCGTTGAAAAAGTGATTTTATTATTAAATATCTCTGTAGAGTATAAAGAAAAGGAAATAATACTTTTTCTATAATTTTTGGAGCATTGGTTGCATCCACTTCGAGTTTTTGCTCGGCCATTTATATATATCTAGAGAAAAATATCGTAGAATAAAATCTAAACACATAAATGAGTTTATTTTTTTTCCCACAATGTCAATTCTCTTTTGTGTAAGACGTAGGTTTGTTTTAAAAAGGTATACATACATTTGTTTCTTTTTTTAAACACAGCTAATTCTGAATGTAACAGATGCTTCAATACGATTGAACCTACTTTTTTATTAAATAATTATTAATTAGAATATAAAAAATTAAAAATAATTCACTCATGAAAACAATTCCAAGCACCAGTTTGACATACACCATTTAAACTTTTACCTATTGCTTGATAATTCATTCCTAGAAACCCAGAAGAAATTGAACTAATTAATCAAATAAAATCTTACCTTTACCACAATTTGTTACAACACAAAGAAGGCTCATAGCTTTAGCAAGATCTTTAACTGATTCTGTTTTTCCAGTACCTACTGGTCCAGCTAGACAAAAGTCATTTCAATATTTTCTATGTAATACACATCAAACTAACTTGTTGCACAACCAAGAAACATCGATAAAGCCTACGATTAACCTAATGAAGTTTTTGTTAAAATACTAAAATATTTATCTGCTTGTGCAATTGTTAAATAAATTCGATCGGTTAATGGTGTTAAATGTATTTATTGATCGATATTAAAAAAATCTGACAAAAATGAACATAGTTGAAAAAAAATCTAATATAAAAAAAGAAAGTAATGTGTTAAATTAAGATAAAAAAAAAAGAAATATTTATGTAATAGATGTCTTTATTTTTCATTGAGTTGGATAATAGCGTTCGAGAAAATAATTTCTATATAAAGCCTCCAAGCATATTTTTTCATTGATGTTAAAGACATCGACCATATCAATAGATGTCAAATATTCACTGAATGAAACATTAATACCTGAACGAGAACGCAAAAAGTTTTTAATTGATTCATGTTCTAATTGATTCCGATCAAATTTGACACGTAAGAGTTCTAACAATATACGATAACTAACTCTTAAATTATTTGCATGATGTTGAATAATTGATTCAAATTGATGAA